ACTATATATAGCTACCGATATAGTCAGTCCACATAGACGATAGGGATTGTGAGATATACCATTACGACACATCTATGGACCCAAGTATAAACATGACTTATATCTAATTATAAACACGATCTATATCAACGACCTTGCCGATGTCACCAGTTTACAACGAAATATATATATATATATATATATATATATATATATATATATATATATATATATATACCGTTGTGTAAATTAATAGAAACAAAACGAATAACTATTATTATTTAAAATTTTTGCGTATTTTTCCAATGAAACATCATCGAGTTCACGTGTTAATACTTAGTATATCCATTCCACGAACTTGTTTTTGCAGATTCACCACAGATTCTCGATTGGAGTTCATCAGGAGTGTTTCCGGGCTAGTCTATAGTACTTTGATTTGCTCACTGGTAAGGCTTGTCCGTGTGTTCGCGCAGCCCTACAATTTTTGTATACTTTCTTGAAATAAAGTCCAACGCAGACAATGGCCGTAGGACAACTAATCGCCAGGCGAGGCAATAGTGTCTGGGCGTGATAAAAAATCTGATGCAATTAAAATGATGCATTATTTTTCAAGTTCAAAAAAATGTCATCCTTCACCTTGAAAATAGATTCATATTACTGCACACCACTGCAAATAACCTAAACTGAGGGAAAATAGAACTCGATTACAACTTTCACTCCAGTGTATTTAAGACTGACCGTATGGTGTAAGAAAGATAACTGAAGCGTTTGTTTCATTTAATTTGCATAAGGGTGTATTATTATTACCCCACTAGTTATACCTGTATTAATAATAAGCCCGTTAGCTAAGGCAGCTGCTCTGAAAAGTGACCCCCATTTGTTAACTGTGGCAAGAAATCTGTCTATATTTCTGAGATGAGGTATTATGTACACTATTTACATTATTCGGACTATCGTCCTCTTCTTTGTCGCCATGTTTATCACAAGGTTTCGGTCATTGTACGCTCCGGCTTTCTTCAGGTGGTTGGAATGTCGAACTGAACCGTTTATTAAAAATGATAAATTAGAAATAAAAGGTTCAGTTAGACATTCCAACCACCTGAAGAAGGCCAGAGCGTACAACGTCCGAAGCGTTGTGATAAACATGGTGGTGAAGATGAGGACAATAGTCCGAATAATGTAAATATTGCAGTTTTCTTTCCTTCGCCTGGGTCCCGAGCTGCTTCTAAATTTACTGGCTGATTATGAGGCGTAAGTCGTCCGCTCATTCTCCGGATGCCAGAGTTTACTTGAGACACATCCTACGGAAGGATTTTATTAACAGTGGGAGCGTGACACCAGTATCACTCCTGCTATTACAAACTTCTCAGTTAATACTGTAAATTTATAAACATTTGACTTGTCTATCAGATCTAATAGTTGTTCAAAGGAATAACATAGGAGAAATCACAAATAATTTGAATAAAATTTTATATGAACACAAAAGGGATCTTTTAGAAAAAAAACACTCTCTATAGATTAGTTGCTCAACGTAATGAGTTTGATCAGAATTTCGATATAAGATTTCTAATTTAATTAAAATGAAAGCAATTTACTGAGATGAGCGTGAATTAATCGCTAGATTACCCACAGTAAATTTAGCTTCAGTATCATACAATATTTTACCTTTCTTTGCAGATCGACTGTTTATTATCGTAATGTGTGATATCTGATAAAAAAGTGTAATAAAAATATAAACGAAAAGAAAACTAAACTAAATTAAATTGGCAATACTAAATAACCAGAAACATATTTTTTTAAATTAAATTTAAAAGTTTAAGAAGTCTCAGAGTCTACCTCCCTCCGTATGCAAGTTTAATTACATCAACGTAAATATCACTAAAGGACGAAGAATCGGCACACGAAATTCTTTTTCACATATATTTTTTCCCTTTTCCTCTTACACACACATATATATATATATATATATATATATATATATATATATTATATATATATATATATACATATATATATATATATATACACACACACACACACATATATATATATATATATATATATATATATATATATATATATATATGTGTATATATATATATATATATATATATATATATATATATAAATATATATATATATATATATATATATATATATATATATATATATATATACATATATATAATATATACATAATATATACACATTTACACACACACACACACATATATTATATATATATATATATATATATATATATATATATATATATCGTAGTAATATTTTTATAATAAAAAATATCATTACATTATTTTGCTTTACGTTGAATCGGGCACATAGATCGTCTATGGTGTGTGTGTATGTCACCACGAAATGTATCTTTATGCATTAGACATCCGACAACATTCATATTTCTCTTACTTAAACGCCTTCCACTCACCTCTCTTAAAATTATCTCTATTATGGTTTAATCTCCCTTCTTCTCTAGTCTGTTACCCCTCTCTTTAACTCTAACATTCGTCCCACACCCTCGTACTTACACTCTCTCTAAATTCTGTTTTTATTTCCGGAGTTGTTTTTTCTGTTTTCTTTTTGAATTTGTAGGCCTGTTGAATTGGATCGTATTTAATATATTTGAATAAATTATCACCATGGTATTATTAGTGTTTAATCCTTTTTTTTATATATATATATATATATATATATATATATATATATATATATATATATATATCAATTATAGGATAGTGTATACGGAATAAATTCCAATCTTAAAATAAACCAAAAATACTATTCCTACTAGAGTGCTCAATACAGTGTAGAGCAAATATAATTTATTCGAAAATTATAACAGAAATGTTATAAAATCACTAGGGTTCCCAACACCTTCTCGTGATCATACACCTGAAATTTTGAAACATAATGGCTATTTTTACAGTGATTTTATGGCATATTTATGTTATAATTTTCGCTAAAATTATATATATATATATATATATATATATATATATATATATATATATGTGTGTGTGTGTGTGTGTGTGTGTGTGTGTGTGTGTGTGTGTGTGTGTGTATCATTAATTAAAAAATATTAAACACTTAAAACCCATAAATAATAATTTTATTTCATGTGAGCTCTAAGAAAAAATGCAGCTCTAATTTTTTTTTTTAGAACTCTCATGAAATAAAAGTTGCCTATGGGTTTTTAAGTGTTTGATATTCTTTAATAATAATAGTTTTGCTCTGTCTTTTGACATAGAGCTCTCCATTGATCTATGTCCTCCGGGAAATTCCATACAGATTACCTTATTGCATCATTACTATATATATATATATATATATATATATATATATATATATATATATATGGGGGTAACCAATATGCATTTTTTTTTCACTGTTTTACACCTGTTACTCAATACCCAGCCCCGAACCTAGTCAAGTTAGAGGGTCACTGAATAAAATTGGTATATTTAAAAGATAGTGGCCCATAAACTTGAAGTAGTTAAGATTGTAATCATTGTGAAAGGATCCTCTTGAGAGCGTTGCAGCACATTGAATAAAATGGAACTTGCTTCATACCAGTTGAATTCGAATGGAATGACGGTGTTTTGACCCTGTGTACTTGGCATGATGGGGTCTTAGCTCTAAAGATCTGAACTGGTTGAAGTAAAACATGTGGCTCCTTTATTGCACTTTGATAAAGCAGAATGTGTGTGATAACTGTCATTATAATTGATGTTATGGAATAACCTGCTACCCCCATGAGTGGCGGCACTATATGTAGTAATCACCTAGAAGTATCCGTTAAGACAGCGGACAGCAGAGTCGAGCTGGGATCTTTCCCAGCTGCGCTAGTCGAACTCTCTGCCTTCGGGCAAAGAGGAACCCGGGCGAGGCTATGCCGAGGGGCAGAGTTTCGTCCGGGGAGGTAGACAGACCCGACCCCGTTTATGCGGGGTCTACGGGGATGTTTTGGCCGAGCCTCCGGGCTCGGGAACCCCACTTTAAATTCGGCTTTGTGTCACATGTGACTGCGTGGGGCAGTTTCTAAATAGCTCCGAGATGGGATCTGCGAGAACTAGCGGCCTTCCGATAGCAGCACGCACACAACTGTACTGACTTGCAAAGACCGTGCGCATAACTATTTCTTCCTTGCTTGGTGTACTGATTTCTACAATAACCTTGTTACTATTTATCCACCGTGTTTTCCAGTCCATATTCCTATTAGCACGGAATATAACAATAATGCAAGCAATCTCTTGACGACAAGAAGAACGTGTTGGAGTATGGAGGAAATGCTAAGGGCAGCTAACTCTGTGTTTTTGTTGGCGATAATAACTTCTTAATTTTGAGATGAATGCTAAAATGTTATGTGCATTAGAACAGAAATCTATCGTAATTAAAATAAACCTGTTGCATCTCGCGGATTAAAAAAGAAAGAAAATTTGCGGTGAATGTCAATAAATTATGTGCATGTATTTTTGAATGCATTTTTTTTTTGTCTACACATATAAATATATTCTATTCTTTATCTACTTTCATTGATCTTTCATCTAAGTTTCCATTGCTTTTAATTTTTTCCTTCTTTCACCTGTCGTTTTTAAGATCTGTTTTATACTACTACTACTTGAATTTTAATTCAACCTGTCCTTCTACGGTTTCTCTATGGTGTTGTAATTGTTGTCCTTGTTTCATTTGATTTTTATGGTCATTACGCTCCGCACGCACGGTGGTGTAATGGATAGCAGGGCGGATTGAGGAATCGGAGAGCCGAGTTCGAATTCCAGTTGAATCCATTACATTCATTTACATGCTAATACCCTTGGGAAAGGTATGAATCAACCTCTTCTTCAAGCTATGGGTTAATAGCCTTGGATAGCAACTGGTTTTTCGCAGAAAGAAATGGCAACCTACTGCGGAAAAAATCTGCCTCGTCAGCCATGTATTGAAAGATACATGAGCGCCCAAGCGTGTATGGCGCATAGCTGACCATCCTACTACTTCAGTTTTTCTAGTTTACATTTTTGTTCATCTCTTCCTTTTCCTCTCCTCGTTCCGTTTCTCTTCCATCTCCTCCTGTCGTGTTTCCCTCACATTTTTCCTCTTCTTCGTTTCTTTCCTGTTCGGCTCCCCTTCCTGTTTTTCATTTATTTATTCTGTTCCTCCATTTTTCTCCCATCGCACTTCCCCTCCCCTTTCTACCCAAACATTCTTCTTCCTTCTCTTTTGTTTTATGCTCATTCTTTTCACCCTGTTCTCCTCTTTTTCCTATTCCTCCCATAGCGCGTCTCTTTTAGTTCTTTCCATTGTTGTTTTTCTCTTCCTTTTCCGCCCATGTTTGTTATCGTCTTTATTTTCCTCTTGTTCTCTTTTCCCTTTTTGCTCCATCCTTGTTCTCTTTTTGTCTTCCTCTTCTTTTCCATGTGTTCCTATTGACTTATTCCTCCCAGTGTTTTTGCCCATTTTTCTTTTCATCGTGTTTTTTCCTCTTCCTTTTCCTCCCATCCTTTTACTTCTCTTGCAATTACTCCCATCGTTCTTCTTCTCTTCTTTTTCCTCCCAAAGTTCTTCTCCTCTTCCTTTTCCACCCATCGTTCTTCTCCACTTCCATTTCCACCCATAGTTCTTCTCCACTTCCTTTTCCTCTCATCGTTCTTCTCCTCTTCCTTTTCCACCCATAGTTTTTCTCCTCTTCCATTTCCTCCCATAGTTTTTCTCCTCTTCCTTTTCCATCCATAGTTCTTCTCCTCTTCCTTTTCCTCCCATCGTTCTTCTCCTCTTCCTTTTCCTCCCAAAGTTCTTCTCCTCCTCCTTTTCCACCCATAGTTCTTCTCCTCTTCCTTTTCCTCCCATCGTTCTTCTCCACTTCCTTTTCCACCAGTAGTTCTTCTCCTCTTCCTTTTCCTCCCAAAGTTCTTCTCCTCTTCCTTTTCCACCCATAGTTCTTCTCGTCTTCCTTTTCCTCCCATAGTTTTTCTCCTCTTCCTTTTCCACCCATCGTTCTTCTCCACTTCCTTTCCTCCCATCGTTCTTCTCCACTTCCTTTTCCATCCATAGTTCTTCTCCTCTTACTTTTCCACCCATAGTTCTTCTCCTCTTCCTTTTCCACCCATCGTTCTTCTCCACTTCCTTTCCTCCCATCGTTCTTCTCCTCTTCCTTTTCCACCCATATTTTTTCTCCTCTTCCATTTCCTCCCATAGTTTTTCTCCTCTTCATTTTCCATCCATAGTTCTTCTCCTCTTCCTTTTCCTCCCATCGTTCTTCTCCTCTTCCTTTTCCACCCATAGTTCTTCTCCTCTTCCTTTTCCACCCATCGTTCTTCTCCACTTCCTTTTCCTCCCATCGTTCTTCTCCTCTTCCATTTCCTCCCATAGCTTTTCTCCTCTTCCTTTTCCTCCCATAGTTTTTCTCCTCTTCCTTTTCCATCCATAGTTCTCCTCCTCTTCCTTTTCCTCCCATCGTTCTTCTCCACTTCCTTTTCCACCAGTAGTTCTTCTCCTCTTCCTTTTCCTCCCAAAGTTCTTCTCCTCTTCCTTTTCCACCCATAGTTCTTCTCGTCTTCCTTTTCCTCCCATAGTTTTTCTCCTCTTCCTTTTCCACCCATCGTTCTTCTCCACTTCCTTTCCTCCCATCGTTCTTCTCCTCTTCCTTTTCCATCCATAGTTCTTCTCCTCTTCCTTTTCCTCCCATCGTTCTTCTCCTCTTCCTTTTCCACCAATCGTTCTTCTCCTCTTCCTTTTCCACCCATAGTTCTTATTTTCTTCCTTTTCCACCCATAGTTCTTCACTTCCTTTCCTCCCATCGTTCTTCTCCTCTTCCTTTTCCATCCCTAGTTCTTCTCCTCTTCCTTTTCCTCCCATCGTTCTTCTCCTCTTCCTTTTCCACCCATCGTTCTTCTCCTCTTCCTTTTCCAACCATAGTTCTTATTTTCTTCCTTTTCCACCCATAGTTCTTCTCCTCTTCCTTTTCCTCCCATAGTTTTTCTCCTCTTCCTTTTCCACCCATAGTTCTTCTCCTCTTCCTTTTCCACCCATCGTTCTTCTCCTCTTCCTTTTCCACCCATAGTTCTTATTTTCTTCCTTTTCCATCCATAGTTCTTCTCCACTTCCTTTCCTCCCATCGTTCTTCTCCTCTTCCTTTTCCACCCATCGTTCTTCTCCTCTTCCTTTTCCACCCATCGTTCTTCTCCTCTTCCTTTTCCACCCATCGTTCTTCTCCTCTTCCTTTTCCACCCATAGTTCTTCTCCTCTTCCTTTTCCACCCATCGTTCTTCTTCACTTCCTTTTCCTCCCATCGTTCTTCTCCTCTTCCATTTCCTCCCATAGCTTTTCTCCTCTTCCTTTTCCTCCCATAGTTTTTCTCCTCTTCCTTTTCCATCCATAGTTCTCCTCCTCTTCCTTTTCCTCCCATCGTTCTTCTCCACTTCCTTTTCCTCCCATCGTTCTTCTCCACTTCCTTTTCCACCAGTAGTTTTTCTCCTCTTCATTTTCCATCCATAGTTCTTCTCCTCTTCCTTTTCCTCCCATCGTTCTTCTCCTCTTCCTTTTCCACCCATCGTTCTTCTCCTCTTCCTTTTCCACCCATAGTTCTTATTTTCTTCCTTTTCCACCCATAGTTCTTCTCCACTTCCTTTCCTCCCATCGTTCTTCTCCTCTTCCTTTTTCATCCCTAGTTCTTCTCCTCTTCCTTTTCCTCCCATCGTTCTTCTCCTCTTCCTTTTCCACCCATCGTTCTTCTCCTCTTCCTTTTCCAACCATAGTTCTTATTTTCTTCCTTTTCCACCCATCGTTCTTCTCCTCTTCCTTTTCCTCCCATAGTATTTCTCCTCTTCCTTTTCCATCCATAGTTCTTCTTCTCTTCCTTTTCCTCGCATCGTTCTTCTCCACTTCCTCTTCCACCCATAGTTCTTCTCCTCTTTCTTTTCCACCCATAGTTCTTATTTTCTTCCTTTTCCATCCATAGTTCTTCTCCACTTCCTTTCCTCCCATCGTTCTTCTCCTCTTCCTTTTCCATCCATAGTTCTTCTCCTCTTCCTTTTCCACCCATAGTTCTTCTCCTCTTCCTTTTCCACCCATCGTTCTTCTTCACTTCCTTTTCCTCCCATCGTTCTTCTCCTCTTCCATTTCCTCCCATAGCTTTTCTCCTCTTCCTTTTCCTCCCATAGTTTTTCTCCTCTTCCTTTTCCATCCATAGTTCTCCTCCTCTTCCTTTTCCTCCATCGTTTTCTTCTCTACTTCCTTTTCCTCCCATCGTTCTTCTCCCTTCCTTTTCCACCAGTAGTTTTCTCCTCTTCATTTTCCATCCATAGTTCTTCTCCTCTTCCTTTTCCTCCCATCGTTCTTCTCCTCTTCCTTTTCCACCCATCGTTCTTCTCCTCTTCCTTTTCCACCATAGTTCTTATTTTCTTCCTTTTCCACCCATAGTTCTTCTCCACTTCCTTTCCTCCCATCGTTCTTCTCCTCTTCCTTTTTTCATCCCTAGTTCTTCTCCTCTTCCTTTTCCTCCCATCGTTCTTCTCCTCTTCCTTTTCCACCCATCGTTCTTCTCCTCTTCCTTTTCCAACCATAGTTCTTATTTTCTTCCTTTTCCACCCATAGTTCTTCTCCTCTTCCTTTTCCTCCCATAGTATTTCTCCTCTTCCTTTTCCATCCATAGTTCTTCTTCTCTTCCTTTTCCTCGCATCGTTCTTCTCCACTTCCTCTTCCACCCATAGTTCTTCTCCTCTTCCTTTTCCACCCATAGTTCTTATTTTCTTCCTTTTCCATCCATAGTTCTTCTCCACTTCCTTTCCTCCCATCGTTCTTCTCCTCTACCTTTTCCATCCATAGTTCTTCTCCTCTTCCTTTTCCACCCATAGTTCTTCTCCTCTTCCTTTTCCACCCATCGTTCTTCTTCACTTCCTTTTCCTCCCATCGTTCTTCTCCTCTTCCATTTCCTCCCATAGCTTTTCTCCTCTTCCTTTTCCTCCCATAGTTTTTCTCCTCTTCCTTTTCCATCCATAGTTCTCCTCCTCTTACTTTTCCTCCCATCGTTCTTCTCCACTTCCTTTTCCTCCCATCGTTCTTCTCCACTTCCTTTTCCACCAGTAGTTCTTCTCCTCTTCCTTTTCCTCCCAAAGTTCTTCTCCTCTTCCTTTTCCACCCATAGTTCTTCTCGTCTTCCTTTTCCTCCCATAGTTTTTCTCCTCTTCCTTTTCCACCCATCGTTCGTCTCCACTTCCTTTCCTCCCACCGTTCTTCTCCACTTCCTTTTCCATCCATAGTTCTTCTCCTCTTACTTTTCCACCCATAGTTCTTCTCCTCTTCCTTTTCCACCCATCGTTCTTCTCCACTTCCTTTCCTCCCATCGTTCTTCTCGTCTTCCTTTTCCATCCATAGTTCTTCTCCTCTTCCTTTTCCTTCCATCGTTCTTCTCCTCTTCCTTTTCCACCCATCGTTCTTCTCCTCTTCCTTTTCCAACCATAGTTCTTATTTTCTTCCTTTTCCACCCATAGTTCTTCTCCTCTTCCTTTTCCTCCCATAGTTTTTCTCCTCTTCCTTTTCCATCCATAGTTCTTCTCCTCTTCCTTTTCCTCCCATCGTTCTTCTCCTCTTCCTTTTCCACCCATCGTTCTTCTCCTCTTCCTTTTCCACCCATAGTTCTTATTTTCTTCCTTTTCCACCCATAGTTCTTCTCCACTTCCTTTCCTCCCATCGTTCTTCTCCTCTTCCTTTTCCATCCATAGTTCTTCTGCTCTTCCTTTTCCTCCCATCGTTCTTCTCCTCTTCCTTTTCCACCCATCGTTCTTCTCCTCTTCCTTTTCCAACCATAGTTCTTATTTTCTTCCTTTTCCACCCATAGTTCTTCTCCTCTTCCTTTTCCTCCCATAGTTTTTCTCCTCTTCCTTTTCCATCCATAGTTCTTCTCCTCTTCCTTTTCCTCCCATCGTTCTTCTCCACTTCCTCTTCCACCCATAGTTCTTCTCTTCCTTTTCCACCCATAGTTCTTCTCCTCTTCCTTTTCCTCCCATAGTTTTTCTCCTCTTCCTTTTCCATCCATAGTTCTTCTCCTCTTCCTTTTCCTCCCATCGTTCTTCTCCTCTTCCTTTTCCTCCCATCGTTCTTCTCCACTTCCTCTTCCACCCATAGTTCTTCTCCTCTTCCTTTTCCACCCATAGTTCTTCTCCTCTTCCTTTACCTCCCATAGTTTTTCTCCTCTTCCTTTTCCATCCATAGTTCTTCTCCTCTTCCTTTTCCTCCCATCGTTCTTCTCCTCTTCCTTTTCCACCCATAGTTCTTCTCCTCTTCCGTTTCCACACATCGTTCTTCTCCACTTCCTTTCCTCCCATCGTTCTTCTCCTCTTCCTTTTCCATCCATAGTTCTTCTCCTCTTCCTTTTCCTCCCATCGTTCTTCTCCTCTTCCTTTTCCACCCATCGTTCTTCTCTCTCTTCCTTTTCCAACCATAGTTCTTATTTTCTTCCTTTTTCCACCCATAGTTCTTCTCCTCTTCCTTTTTCCTCCCATAGTTTTTTTCTCCTTTTCCTTTTTCCATCCATAGTTCTTCTCCTCTTCCTTTTCCTCGCATCGTTCTTCTCCACTTCCTCTTCCACCCATAGTTCTTCTCCTCTTCCTTTTCCACCCATAGTTCTTATTTTCTTCCTTTTCCATCCATAGTTCTTCTCCTCTTCCTTTTCCACCCATAGTTCTTCTCCTCTTCCTTTTCCACCCATCTTTCTTCTCCACTTCCTTTTCTCCCATCGTTCTTCTCCTCTTCCTTTTCCATCCATAGTTCTTCTCCTCTTCCTTTTCCTCCCATCGTTCTTCTCCTCTTCCTTTCCCACCCATCGTTCTTCTCCTCTTCCTTTTCCACCCATAGTTCTTCTCCTCTTCCTTTTCAACCCATAGTTCTTCTCCTCTTCCTTTTCCACCCATCGTTCTTCTCCTCTTCCTTTTCCACCCATCGTTCTTCTCCACTTCCTTTTCCACCCATCGTTCTTCTCCTCTTCCTTTTCCATCCATAGTTCTTCTCCTCTTCCTTTTCCTCCCATCGTTCTTCTCCTCTTCCTTTTCCACCCATAGTTCTTCTCCTCTTCCTTTTCCACCCATCGTTCTTCTCCACTTCCTTTTCCATCCATAGTTCTTCTCCTCTTCCTTTTCCTCGCATCGTTCTTCTCCTCTTCCTTTTCCACCCATCGTTCTTCTCCTCTTCCTTTTCCATCCATAGTTCTTCTCCTCTTCCTTTTCCTCCCATCGTTCTTCTCCTCTTCCTTTTCCACCCATAGTTCTTCTCCTCTTCCTTTTCCACCCATAGTTCTTCTCCTCTTCCTTTTCCACCCATAGTTCTTCTCCACTTCCTTTTCTCCCATCGTTCTTCTCCTCTTCCTTTTCCATCCATAGTTCTTCTCCTCTTCCTTTTCCACCCATCGTTCTTCTCCTCTTCCTTTTCCATCCATAGTTCTTCTCCTCTTCCTTTTCCTCGCATCGTTCTTCTCCTCTTCCTTTTCCACCCATCGTTCTTCTCCTCTTCCTTTTCCATCCATAGTTCTTCTCCTCTTCCTTTTCCTCCCCATCGTTCTTTTCTCCTCTTCCTTTTCCACCCATAGTTCTTCTCTCTTCCTTTTCCACCCATAGTTCTTCTCCTCTTCCTTTTCCTCCCATCTTTCTTCTCCTCTTCCTTTTCCATCCATAGTCCTTCTCCTCTTCCTTTTCCTCCCATCGTTCTTCTCCTCTTCCTTTTCCACCCATAGTTCTTCTCCTCTTCCTTTTCCACCCATCGTTCTTCTCCACTTCCCTTTTCTCCCATCGTTCTTCTCCCTCTTTTTTTTCCATCTTCTTCTAGTTCTTTTCTCCTCTTCCTTTTCCTCCATCGTTCTTCTCCTCTTCCTTTTCCACCCATAGTTCTTATTTTCTTCCTTTTCCACCCATAGTTCTTCTCCACTTCCTTTCCTCCCATCGTTCTTCTCCTCTTCCTTTTCCTCCCATAGTTTTTCTCCTCTTCCTTTTCCATCCATAGTTCTTCTCCTCTTCCTTTTCCTCGCATCGTTCTTCTCCACTACCTCTTCCACCCATAGTTCTTCTCCCTCTTCCTTTTTCCACCCCATAGTTCTTATTTTCTTCCTTTTCCATCCATAGTTCTTCTCCTCTTCCTTTTCCTCACGCATCGTTCTTCTCCTCTTCCTTTTCCACCCATCGTTCTTCTCCTCTTCCTTTTCCATCCATAGTTCTTCTCCTCTTCCTTTTCCTCCCATCGTTCTTCTCCTCTTCCTTTTCCACCCATCGTTCTTCTCCTCTTCCTTTTCACCCATAGTTCTTCTCCTCTTCCTTTTCAACCCATAGTTCTTCTCCTCTTCCTTTTCCACCCATCGTTTCTTCTCCTCTTCCCTTTTCCACCCATAGTTCTTCTCCACTTCCTTTTCCACCCTCTTCGTTCTTCTCCTCTTCCTTTTCCATCCATAGTTCTTCTCCTCTTCCTTTTCCTCCCATCGTTCTTCTCCTCTTCCTTTTTCCACCCATAGTTCTTCTCCTCTTCCTTTTCCACCCATCGTTCGTTTCTCCACTTCCTTTTCCATCCATAGTTCTTCTCCTCTTCCTTTTCCTCCCATGGTTTTCTTCTCCTCTTCCTTTTCCACCCATAGTTCTTTCTCCTCTTCCTTTTCCACCCATAGTTCTTCTCCTCTTCCTTTTCCACCCATAGTTCTTCTCCCTTCCTTTTCTCCCATCGTTCTTCTCCTCTTCCTTTTCCATCCATAGTTCTTCTCCTCTTCCTTTTCCACCCATCGTTCTTCTCCTCTTCCTTTTCCATCCATAGTTCTTTTCTCATAGTTCTTTCCTTTTCCTCGCATCGTTCTTCTCCTCTTCCTTTTCCACCCTTCTCGTTCTTCTCTCCTCTTCCTTTTCCATCCATAGTTCTTCTCCTCTTCCTTTTCCACCCATCGTTCTTCTCCTCTTCCTTTTCCATCCATAGTTCTTCTCCTCTTCCTTTTCCTCCCCCCCCATCGTTCTTCTCCTCTTCCTTTTTCCACCCATAGTTCTTCTCCTCTTCCTTTTCCACCTATCGTTCTTCTCCTCTTCCTTTTCTCCCATCGTTCTTCTCCTCTTCCTTTTCCATCCATAGTTCTTCTCCTTTCTTCATAGTTTTTCCTCCCATCGTTCTTCTCCTCTTCCTTTTCCCCCATAGTTCTTATTTTCTTCCTTTTTCCACCCATAGTTCTTCTCCTTCCTTTCCTCCCCATCGTTCTTTCCTCTTCCTTTTTCCTCCATAGTTTTTTTCTCCTCTTCCTTTTCCATCCATAGTTCTTCTCCTCTTCCTTTTCCTCGCATCGTTCTTTTCTCCACTTCCTCTTCCACCCATAGTTCTTCTCCTCTTCCTTTTCCACCCATAGTTCTTATTTTCTTCCTTTTCCATCCATAGTTCTTCTCCTCTTCCTTTTCCACCCATAGTTCTTCTCCTCTTCCTTTTCCACCCATCGTTCTTCTCCACTTCCTTTTCTCCCATCGTTCTTCTCCTCTTCCTTTTCCATCCATAGTTCTTCTCCTCTTCCTTTTCCTCCCATCGTTCTTCTCCTCTTCCTTTTCCACCCATCGTTTTCTTCTCCTCTTCCTTTTCCACCCATAGTTCTTCTCCCTCTTCCTCCTTTTCCACCCATAGTTCTTCTCCTCTTCCTTTTCCACCCATCGTTCTTCTCCTCTTCCTTTTCCACCCATCGTTCTTCTCCCTTCCTTTTCCACCCATCGTTCTTCTCCTCTTCCTTTTCCATCCATAGTTCTTCTCCTCTTCCTTTTCCTCCCATCGTTCTTCTCCTCTTCCTTTTCCACCCATAGTTCTTCTCCTCTTCCTTTTCCACCCATCGTTCTTCTCCACTTCCTTTTCCATCCATAGTTCTTCTCCTCTTCTTTTCCCCTGCATCGTTCTTCTCCTCTTCCTTTTCCACCCATCGTTCTTCTCCACTTCCTTTTCCATCCATAGTTCTTCTCCTCTTCCTTTTCCTCCCATCGTTCTTCTCCTCTTCCTTTTCCACCCATAGTTCTTCTCCTCTTCCTTTTCCACCCATAGTTCTTCTCCACTTCCTTTTCTCCCATCGTTCTTCTCCTCTTCCTTTTTTCCATCCATAGTTCTTCTCCTCTTCCTTTTCCACCCATCGTTCTTCTCCTCTTCCTTTTCCATCCATAGTTCTTCTCCTCTTCCTTTTCCTCCCATCGTTCTTCTCCTCTTCCTTTTCCACCCATCGTTCTTCTCCTCTTCCTTTTCCATCCATAGTTCTTCTCCTCTTCCTTTTCCTCCCATCGTTCTTCTCCTCTTCCTTTTCCACCCATAGTTCTTCTCCTCTTCTTTTTCCACCCATAGTTCTTCTCCTCTTCCTTTTCCACCCATAGTTCTTCTCCACTTCCTTTTCTCCCCATCGTTCTTCTCCTCTTCCTTTTCCATCCATAGTTCTTCTCCTCTTCCTTTTCCACCCATCGTTCTTCTCCTCTTCCTTTTCCATCCATAGTTCTTCTCCTCTTCCTTTTCCTCCCATCGTTCTTCTCCTCTTCCTTTTCCACCCATAGTTCTTCTCCTCTTCCTTTTCCACCCATCGTTCTTCTCCACTTCCTTTCCTCCCATCGTTCTTCTCCTCTTCCTTTTCCATCCATAGTTCTTCTCCTCTTCCTTTTCCTCCCATCGTTCTTCTCCTCTTCCTTTTCCACCCATAGTTCTTATTTTCTTCCTTTTCCACCCATAGTTCTTCTCCACTTCCTTTCCTCTCATCGTTCTTCTCCTCTTCCTTTTCCTCCCATAGTTCTTCTCCTCTTCCTTTTCCTCCCATAGTTTTTCTCCTCTTCCTTTTCCATCCATAGTTCTTCTCCTCTTCCTTTTCCTCCCATCGTTCTTCTCCTCTTCCTTTTCCACCCATAGTTCTTCTCCTCTTCCTTTTCCTCCCATCGTTCTTCTCCACTTCCTTTTCCACCCATAGTTCTTCTCCTCTTCCTTTTACTCCCAAAGTTTTTCTCCTCTTCCTCTTACTCCCATTCTTGTTCTTCTCTTCCGTCCCCCTCAATCGCTCTACTATTTTTTCTCCCCCATCTTTCTTCTAATTCATTTCCACCTATCTTGGTTATTCCTCTTGTCCTTTTTCTTTTACGTTCTCATTCTATTTTCGTCCATTGCTATTTTTCTCTTCCTTTTCCTCCCATTTTTCTTATCCTTTTCTTTATCTTTCTGTTATTCTCCTCTCTCCCCCATCGTTGTACTTCGCTTCCTTTTTCTCCTATCGCGTTTCTCCTTTCTTCTTTTCCCTACCATCGCTCCTCTTCCCTTTCCACTTTCTCTTATCATTCTTCTCTTCTATTTTCCCCCTTCCTTTTACTCTTATTGTGCCTCTCCTATTTTTCTCCCTCGCTCTTTTTCTTCTAATTTTCCTCGCATTTTTATGCTTTTTCTTTTCCTTCTCTTCTCCTTTCCTTTTCCACTACGCTGTTCTCCCATTGCTTTTACTCCCATCACTCTTATCCATTTCCTTTTCCTCGCATTATTCTTCTGTCAGATTCTCCTTCCCATAGTTGCTATACTCTTCCTTTTCCTCCCGTTCATCTTCCTCCCACCACCTTCTTCTTCTTCTTCATCTCTAGTACTACTAATTTTATTGTATTTTCTTGAGCTTTTATAGCTTTTGGCTTTATTCTCCATTTTTTCATTCTCATTTTAGGCTATCTCTAATGTGGATTACTGGCTGGAATTAACAGATTTTGACGTTAAAAAGCAAGAAACAAAGGTAAGTTTGGCATATATTAACATTGAAAGTGCTGGACAAAATGAAATAAATTTGGAAACGGCGAATTAAGAAATAAAAATTCAGTAAAAATATTCTTTTAAAAATCCAATGATATTTAAACTAAATGAAATCTGACAGGTATTTTAAACACTTAGCTAAAATTCATAACTAATAAATATGAATAATAAAGTCAGGACCTCGCCCTGGAAGACTAGAATCGTCAGAATATGAGGGTTTTGTTCGTGTCAATAATAACTAGAGCACTCGAACTTTCGCAACGATATTGGAAAAATTGGTGATTCAATTAAGTAAGACTGCGGCATAACTTGAATTTTGTTTTGTTTTGTTTTACGGCATATCAGCCTCAATGGATTTATTTAATGCCGACAAGATTTTTATTGCTGGTAATATTTTTTCTAAAAATGCATTTTTGGTAATACCTCCTTTCTTCAAAAATGCATTGCTGGTAACAATTCTTTCTCAAAAAAATTAAACACCAGCAATCAAGAGGTGGCTCCTAGTTGCTCAAAACCCGAACAAAGGCCTTGCTGTCGGACGTAGTTTATCGTCTTACCCAGGACGCGGATGTAGTTTATCGTCATACCAAGGATGTAGCACAACTTGAGTTTGAGAATATAATGGGGAAAAATGATGATAATATTAGCCGTTTCCCTGTAAGGAAACATCTGACATTCATAGGACGAGCAGCCAGAACCTTTTTTTAGCTGAAATTTTAAAAATCTTTCTCTTAAAATAATTGTTTAGGAAAACCCGTTTTTCAAGTCCAGTGGCTGTTATCACTCTTTCCAGTATTGGTGGAGGTTTCCTTCAGTATCTTCTATTTAAAATAGTGTGGAAAGTTAACATCTTGATGCCATTATTTTTTCTTTGAGCTATATATGTGTTGTGGATTCCGAGATGAAATCCGGTACCAATAAATAACAAAATCCAAGAATGAATATAGGAAAATAATGTATTAACGTAATAATACAAACTGGTAATGCAGGTTAGTAGTTCCAGGAATACGGGTTAGTAGCAAAATATCTATACAGTCTTGTGGTATTGAAGTATCGCTGTATGACTTCTTACTGAGTCTACGTGCTCGCTCACTGTGACTCTTGCTGTCTACGTTCGGTCTGTCTGTCTGTTACCTGCAACCTTTCATTCTCCCTTTTCGGTCTGTTTCCCGGTCTTGCTCTCGTTTCTCGGGTCTTCACGTAGCAGTAGTATATGGGTAAGTCCATTTGTGTAAAAAGGGGAGAACCCCTCAACAATATGCTATCTATTTTAGTTGTTGCTTCTGTTGGTAGTCCTAATGTTTCTGTTATTCAAGAGAGTTCGTAGGGAATCTGGAGCGCCCAAAAAGGTTTATAGTGGGATGATCATTGTCAAGACACCCAGGCTTCACTTGCTCAAAGCCTTTTTCTTCACCATTAATCTTAGGAAGCGGTTGTATACATTTGAATGTATAGATATTTCTAGCCAGATTTGGCGCCATGCGTCTGTTATCGCTCTTTTCAGTTTTGATAGGGGAATCCTTTCTAACTTCTTTTTGAAGTAGCGTAAGGAAATTCAACTTCTTGATTGTGCCATTATTTTCTCTTCGAGTTAACGGTGCTATCCATTTTATTTCTGGCTGATTTTGGTGGACATCAAGTGATGTGATTTCTATTATTTGGTGCAGTTCTTTGTGATTCAGTAGTTCGAAACCACAATGTTCAAAGCAAGATGATCTTTGCCAAAACCCTCAGGCTTTATTCATTCAAAGCCTTTTTCACCATTGATCTTTGGAAACGGTTCTATACAGCTGACTGTTTAAATATTTCTGAACAGATTTGGCGCGATGACTAACGTCCTTATACAAGGCTCTATCTGATGAGGCAATTTAAGAAGACTTGCTTTTAATCTACAACGAGTAGCAACCATTGGACATTTTAACGTGCGAATGTTTTGATAACCTATGCTACATACACTTCTGATATTCAACCTAGGATCAAAGTTTCTGTCTGATACTAAACCCTTCTGAACAGTAATGACGCTTTCCCTTTGAGACTATATAATTTTATTCAGCTTGTTTCTATATAATACACTATTTAACTAAGATCAGAGTGTAGTTTCTGTGTGATCCTCAACCGTTCTGAACAGTAATGACGCTTTCTCTTTGAGAATATATAATCTTTTTCTTTATATTTTTATATAATACAATATTTAAATACGATCAGAGTGTAGTTTCTGTTTGATCCTCGATATGTATGAATTACAATCAGGTAAGTTTTCTGACCGAGATCAAACTCTCGCCAAAGCCATGCTTTTTTTTTTCAAGGACCGTAGTGTGGTGGTGGGGCCCGATTCTTGAACCGTACGAATTGGGATTTCTAAAGTGAGGATTTATACCATGACTTTGCTTGTATATACGCAAGAACATCACGCTTTTCTCCCTGGGATCAAAGTGTAGTACCTGCTCGAAATGAAGTCAGTTTCGTTTTCTAACCGTGAATCTATGCTAATATTCTGCTTTGTTTTATGTCTGATAATTGCACTGATCTACTTAGAATAGGAGTGTAGTTTCAGTCCGATCCGTTACCCTTCTTCACGGGAATTATTTACGCTTTCCGGCCGAGAAAAATTAGAAGGAAGAAAATGAGAGAAATAAAAATGTGTGAAGTTTAAACAAGAAGGTAGGAAATCGAGAAAAAACGAAAACAAATCTTGATTTGTTTGCATTTCCTAATGAAATTAAATAATATATATATATATATATATATATATATATATATATATATATATATATATATATATATATATATAAACATACACGTACATACACACACATTATATATATATATATATATGTGTGTGTTTGTGTGTGTGTGTGTGTAAAAATTCGGATAGATTATATCAGTAAAAAACAACATGAATAAAGTCAAGAGGAAAACTTATTTTAGCCACGCGTTTCGTTTTCTAAGGGGCTTTAACAAAGCAAATGTAAGCATTTTATTTATGAAAAGATTATTTTATACTTTCGTCTATTAGACATGTATTGTATCACCTCATGTCTTCCATATCCATGCTTGATATTTTCATTAACCAGATGAATATTCATGATCACTCCAATAACTAAAAAAATAATTTATATGGTTGCCACTGAAAGACTGAATGATATAAAGCAAAAATAACTTTTACAAACTATGATTTTTAATTTTTTCCTTTATTTTATTTGGAAATATAATTAATGGTATTTCATAATTTTCTGTAGTAATGTTCAGGCGATGCCTTGTTAGGCAGTTACAGTAATGTTCATTGATGTCTTGTTAAACAGTAACAATAAGGTACAGGCTATGGCTTGTTAAGCAGTAACAGTAATGATCCGGCGATGGCATGTGAAGCAGTAACAGTAATGTCCAGACTATGCCTTGTTAAGCAGTAACACTAACGTTCGGGCGATGTCTTGTTAAGCAGTAACAGCACTGTTCAGGCAATGTCTTGTTAAGCAGTAACAGTAACGTTCCGGCGATGCCTTGTGAAGCAGTAACACTAACGTTCAGGCAATATCTTATTAAGCAGTAACAGTAATGTTCAGGCAATGTCTTGTTAAGCAGAAACAGTAACGTTCCGGCGATGCCTTGTGAAGAAGTAACACTAACGTTCAGGCGATATCTTATTAAGCAGTAACAGTAATGTTCAGGCAATGTCTTGTTAAGCAGAAACAGTAATGTTCGGGCGATGTCTTGTTAAGCAGTAACAGTAATGTTCGGGCGATGTCTTGTTAAGCAGTAACAGTAATGTTCAGGCGATGTCTTGTTAAGTAGTAACAGTAATGTTCAGGCGATATCTTGTTAAGCCGTAAAAAGCTGATTGATCTTCAAGGACACTATGCCGTACAGCTGCCATCGCTGCATCAGTGTACACTGTTCCCTTTTCTCGGAAGATCGCCGACTGATCCAATTCTTTCAAACCAGGAAATTAAGTTCCGAATTACGCTATCGCTAGGATATACTTTGATAGTAATATAATGTCGGTATTTTCTCTAAGTTTTGAATACTCGACCTTTCGTTGGAATAGAAAATCTCAATGAGTTTTACTTGTTGCTGGACATCATACATTAGATATAGATTTTCGTAATATGAGTTGTACTTGTGAGAACATTTTTTTTATATCTTTAAGGCAGATGCTACCAAGATTCCCTTCAATGAGTCTATTGGAACCTTTTAATCTCCAAGGGATGCTTTTAAACTGCAAAAAATGTAAAGAAAAATGTTTGAAAACGAAAAATTATGACTTTTAAACCATTCAGTTTTTCAGTGGTCACCCTGCAAAATGACATTTAGAAGCTTTGGAGACGAAATTTCTAGACATATTTGTCGTCCTGATTGAATATTAAAAGACAATAGCTGAAATCAAGAGATGCCGGTATTGATGGACATGCTATAGTCAATGGTACGAAATTTAAAATTGTATAGAGGCAGACAGAACAAATGGAACATAAAAGAAATATAAGTGAAAAAATGTGGAAAATTCGAGTTTATTAATTTTCCCATTTCCAAATTTGAAAGTAATCCATGCCTGCCGAATAATAATGGGCGGTGAATGACGTTTGTAAGGATAAGGGAGAGAATAAGAAGATACATGAAAAAGGCGAGATTACTTGAGATAATCGATAATCTTTGCTGTCAAGATCTGGATCGAATTATTATTATATATATTATCATCTTGCTAGAAATAATTTTAATTGCTTAATGGCAAAGTACGCGTTGGGGTTTATTGGTAAAAATGTACTGTAGGGGATTTATCTATGTATATTTTTTACGTTTCATTAGTGGGTTTTCTGTATGATATGTGCAGTTCAGTACAAAGGAATCCTTTGTGGCTTGAGATACTGATGTGTCTAGGAACTT